ATTAAACTTTCAATATTCTTCTCAGCCTCTCTTGTATTAAGCTGCAGTAATGTGCATATTTCCAGACTGTGGGATCAATTAAGTCTTATCTTATTTTATCTTAAAAACAGTTTTTAGTCAGTAGATAACTGTGTTTTTGCTATGAAACTACAAACATGGCCGAACGGGGTGGAGTTGAACGCTCAGCGACCTGGAGGGGGCGGGGTGTGAAACTCATTTGTATTTAAAGAGACCGCACCAAAACAGCTTGCTCTGAGGCGCAACTCAGAACAGGGGTAAAGCAAGGAGTCTGTGGAGCAACAAAAATGAGGAATTAAGACCAAAGCGTTGCAGTTTTATTTTAAATAGACCATAAGTGAAAGATTTAGACGTGAAAAAGAAGGATTTAAAAGCATGATATGATACCTTTAAGCAGAAAACAGCTGAAATGAACACAAAAAAGTGAAAATAGCTTTAAAAAGGCTGAAATGAGCAGAAAGCACTTAAAAGGAGCATATAAAGCTTAAACAAGCAGATGGAAGTTGAAATAATGAGAAAAAAGCTGAAATTAGCAGAAAGAAGCTGAAATTAGCAGGAGAATGAGCAGTAAAAGGTTGTAAACAGCACACAGTGATTGAAGGATTTTGAAGGAAACTATTATTTTCAGTGGGAAAAAAGCTAATTATTTCAAAAATGTAAAAATTGCACAAATACAAAAGGTCATGGCAGGAGTGTTCTGAATGAGCTGAACATTTTGTTACATGAATTGTTGAAATAGCACAAAAACTGTGGAAGAAGTGCCTAAAAAAGTACAAAGGGAAAACAGATCTTAATAGTGTGAATGCTTGCTAAGCATCAACACAAATATGCAACTACTCATTCTAAGAATGTGTTTGGTATAAACTTAGAACATAAAAAATCGTAATTAAACAAAACACCAGCTTTTGGTTGCCAAGAAAAACAAAAGCCTGTGTCAACAAAAAAAAAAGGCTTTGCTTAATCAGCTCACAATCAACGAGGTCTCATTCTGCTCATCCGACAACTGCACAGAGGAGGTGGTCATGTGGGACGAATAACAAGAGGTGAAATGGGTGAGAAAGAGGGATGTGTGAAATTAATTGGTGCCTTGGACACCCTCAGTTTCTAAACACCTTTACAGACTAATCTGCCTGGCAGAAGCTTATTGGCAGCACTGTGAGTGTCTGTATGTTGGTGAGGGAGGGTTACTGGGTTTTACTGGGCTCTGATATCCTGGATTTCAAAATTCTCTTCGTTTCTCCATTCCTTCTTGTCTTCTTGTCAATCTTTATTTGCAGCTTTAAAAAAAATTGTTCATTCCTACATAGTCATTTCTTTTCTTAAAGGGGCAATATCATGTAAAATCATTTTCTTTGTTTTATATCAAGTTATAATGTTATACTCTCATAAAAAACATGCCCAAAGCCTTGCTTTGACTCATTCATGCATGTTGAGAAATCCTGCAGTG